CTTCAGACTTTTGTATTTTTCGAAGTCGAAGGGATCAGTATTATTTTTTCCCAGTAGTCTACTGAGATAAAAACACCACCCCTATCATAGTACTTTAAAAACTTTGTATTTTTAAAAAAATGCTTTCTAATTGCTAACTTTCAGTTTCTATAAACATGGTCCAGAGGTGTAAGGATCGTTCTCTAGAACTCTTTTTAAAATCTTTAATTACATTTAAAATTTGATTTCTCGGCAGCGGGGGAGGCTTGCTTGTGCCGCAGTATGCACTATGCACATAGAGACCAGAGGAGTCGATTCTCTCCTTTCATCATGTGTGTCGTCCGGATTGAATTAAGTTCATTAGGCTTATCCGCAAGAACCTTTACCCTCCAAAACATCTCACCAGCCCCTCTTTCTTTTTCTATTCTTTTCCATTAAGACAGGTCTCATGTAGTCAAATCTGGCTTCAACATGTCTGTATACTGGAAGATGAACTACACTAACTGCCCACTCCCTTCCCTTCTTCAACTGATGTTTCTACACAGGCTTTTCCACCTTTGTCAGACTGCTTTCCTTCTTATCAACATAGTCTCTATTTCCTTGTGGTCTCTACCAACCCTCATTTCTTTCAAAGTGTAGCTTCTTTACCTGACAAACTTTTTCTGGGTAATCATATCTCTTGAAAGCTCATCACCACACCAACAGTTTCATTGGGCACTCTGAAATGCACTGTACTTACTGTTTTCCTGACCCTGTTCTGTATCAGCTGCATCGACATTTGTGATGGTTGATTAATCATTGTTAACTTGATGGGGTTCAGAATCACCTAGGAGACATACCTCTGGACATGTCTGTGAGGGTGTTTCCAGAGAGGTTTAACCCTGAATGTGGGCAGTACCACCTGCTGGGGTTCAAGAATGAATAAAAAGGAGAAAGCAAGCAGAGCACGTGACCCCGTTAGAGTCTGGCCACAATGCCTTCCCACCATGAGGGACTGTACCCTCAAACTGCAAGCCAAAATAAACCCTCAGTTGCTTTTTGTCAGGTATTTTGTTACAGCAATGAGAAAAGTAATCTAACATTCTATCAATTTGATATTGTGCTATGCCCCTTGTTGCTGTTGAGTTTCTCCTGAGCATATAAAGTAATGCAAACAACTAATGGTCTAGTCAGACCAGTTGTGACCCCAGTTCTCTGTGAGTACATGGTCTAGGTTAACTGTCATGGCCATCCTTAATAACTTTAACTGGCATTGAGCACAAATCCAGGTTTGCAGAAGCCTTAGAGCTATCTGTATATATACAGACTGCCTTCCATCTTTCTCATCAACTATATATACAATCAGCATGCATGTTGACCTTGGATAAGCATTGATTAGTGTCAAACTGGGCAAACCAAGTAAGTGAGTCCAAAGGTGACCCATATGCAGGGGGGCAGTGGGGGCTAGCCCCAGCTGGCTAGAACTTACTATGGAGACCAGGCTGGCCTTGATCTCATGGAGATCTGTCTGCTGCTGCCTCTGGAGTGCTGGGATTAAAGGTGTGCACACTTGGCTCAACGTGTTTCTTAATCCTAAAGCATGACAGAGCATAATCTAATTCCCAATTTTAGAATCTGCTTTCTTTCTTTATGCTAAATAGAATCTATCTAGCTTACTGTACATTTTGAATTTTTTTAAATTAAATTTTTAAAAATTTTATTTTATTATTTTTATTTTATGGGTATGAGCGTATTGCCTGCATGTATGTGAGTGCACCCATGTCGTGCAATGC